GAAACTGTTTCATGTATTGCTCTAAAATTAATGAAACTGTTTCATGTATTTCTCTAAAATTAAAATAATGAAGATGATAATATCCATGATTAACATCATCCACAATAAAAATGATTAATCAATCTTTCATAATTACAAAAAAATGAACAAAATGAAAAATTATGATTAGTTGAATGAAGGTTGTACGGTTTGTACAAATTAGGTGGTTTTTATTTGAACGTTCCCCTATATATATATATATATATATATATATATATATATATATAATACTAATTTAAGATTATCTTAATCTTAACATTATTAATATATATATATATATATATATATATATATATTAAATGGTTTGTAAAAATAAATTATCATGACTTTCATTTGAGCATTAAAACTTCGCTTATCGATTTGGTAAGCATTTATCGGATGTGATATCAACATGTTTGCATGAGGACCCGTGAGACCATTTTTTTATATTTGAGGCTTCACAGACTTTCACATCGTTTTGCTGTAAAGGTTATCTTTGAAACATTTTGCTGTGAAGTTTCAAGTGTAAAAAAATGGTCTCACGAAAACATGTTGGTCTCACGTGATTCCAAGTGTCTCTCTCTTTATATATACATACATACATATATACATATAAACATAGACTTGGGATCATGTGAGACCAGTCTGTTTTCGTGAGACCCGTGAGACCAACATTTTACACTTGAAACTTCACAACAAAAATGCTGTGAAGGTGACTTTTTAAAACCTTCACAGTGTTTTTGCTGTGAAGTTTCGACTTTTTAAAACCTTGACAGTGTTTTTGCTGTGAAGTTTACGTGTAAAAACGTGGTCTCACGGGTCTCACGAAAACAGGCTGGTCTCACGTGAACACAACCCTATAAACATATATATATATATATATATATATACATATATACATATAAACATATATATATATATATATACATATAAACATATATACATACATATATACATATAGGGTTGGGTTCACGTGAGACCAAAGGTTTTTCGTGAGACCCGTAAGACCAAGTTATGTTCATTGATCAACATTATAAACTTATGATCTAACGGTCTAAAGTTGCAAGGTGGAAATTTTGTAATTATTGAGAAGTTTTGTGGCGTTTATGAATGTTCAGATCTGACGATTGTAAATCTAATCCAAGGGTTGAGAATTGGTCTTACGGGTCTCACGAAAAACCATTGGTCTCACATGATCCCAAGTCTATACATATAAACATATATATATATATATATATATATATACATATATACATATAAACATA